GCAGTCTGATCTGCAACACGCAATATTAACCAGTAGCTTTTGTGCCGTGAGGAATGAGTGTTTGAGAGACATCGGGGTGGGGGGAGGTCCATTGTCCTAGGGAGGGAGGTGATGCTGCATCCTCCATGGTGATATTATGGTGCCTTCTTATCCTACCACCATGAACCCAAACAACGCCAATTCCAAATCAGCAGAACCCCCGGCCCCCTCCCCCCAATTAAACTACGTAAATGATTGACTTTATCCAGCGCCTTTTCCCCAGGACAGTCATCCTCACTCCTGCCCCTGAAACTCCCCCTCAGGGCTCACGTGTCATTGTGTTTGGCAGGGGTCCCTGTCTACAATGTGAGCTTGGCGACACAGCCCCCAGGGGGCCATGTGATGGAGGGCGAGAAGCTGGCTCTTGTCTGCGTGGCCACGGGGGGCACCGGAGACATCACCTTCCGGTGGTACCGAGGGGCCCTGGGCTTAAACCTGGGAGCCAAGACCCAGCCCTCCCTGACGGCGGCGTTTGAGATTCCTGCGGTGAGCGAGCAGGACACCGAGGCCTATTACTGCGCAGCGGACAACGGCTATGGCCCCAGCCTCAGCGGGCTGGTGAGCATCGCGGTCAGAAGTAAGTGCCCCTGCCCATCAGCTGGCAGGAGCGGGCACGGGGACCCCTGTTTCCTCGGGGGCATCCGGAGGAAGCTCAGGGGGGCCGAGCCCCTGGGGGAAGAGATGGTGAGTCTGCCGCACTGTCCGACACCCCTTAGACACCCACCATCTTTCTCAGTTCCAGTGTCTCAGCCTGTCCTCACCTCCAGGGCTCCGCGCGCCCCGCCGGTGGTGGGGGATGCGGTGGAGCTGCACTGCGAGGCCGGGAGCGGCTCTCCTCCCATCCGGTACCAGTTTTTCCTGGAGGATGTCCCCCTGGGGAGCAGCTCAGCCCCCTTCGGAGGAGGAGCCTCCCTGAACCTCTCTCTGACCTCGGAACATTGCGGGAACTACTCGTGTGAGGCCGACAACGGCCGGCGAGCGCCGCGCAGTGAGCCGGTGCCCCTCTGCGTCGCAGGTACAGCTCGGCCCACGGACCGTCTCCGTGACCGTCTCTTTCTCAGCAGCCCGGGGGGGTTTCGCGGGCCTCGCCGTGTTGTTGCTGCTGTGTTACCCCAGATGGGGTTCGGTGGGTGGTGCCGCCCTGGGGGGTATCTGAGGGGCCTGGAGGACCTAGTGGCTGGGTGCATCTCTGGTTCTTTCATCGCTGAGAAGAGCTGCAAGTCTCTAGATAACTAAGTCTCACTGCCCCTGCCCCTGCGAAGGGCTGACCTTGGCCTCAAGACGTCTGCTCGCCAAATCGGAGTCCTTCTCCCTGGCAGCTCACGCACAGGTCTCTCTCCTCAGTGCCCGCAGCGGACAGAGAAAGCCCTACTCCACCCATCCTTGAGGGGCTGCTTGGCGGCTTTGGTCTCACCGTTATGGCCCTATTCTTTTGCTGTTGGCTCAAGAGAAAAGTAGGTGAGTATTCATGGGGATTGGTATGCTGTTACCGTGACCTTGGTTTTCACGGAAATAGGCTGCATTGGTGACACGTATACTACAAAGAATGAATGCATCGCGTGCGTCACCCTGCCCGCAGACCTGCTTACAACTCCCAGCAGGGAACGGCACCTATTAAAGTAATGTAATGTTAGTCAAGTTCCTATCCCCTTTGTATTACCAGTTGAAATCCAGCTGATATCTAATGATTCTGTGATTTAATTTTATATGAAAATGTAACTATTTAAATAACGAATCAGCTACTGGATGAGAAATACAGGGAGCAGTTCCAGCTATACTGACCATCTCCCAACTAAAGTCAATGCATCAATTCTTATGCACCTTAGACTGAAATTACATGCCTGCCCCGCCCCCCCATTCTACTCATTGCTGAGTCTTTTCCACTTTTCAGTTTAAATGTCATTTTAAAAAATACATATTTTTAAAATTGATTTTAGAGAGGAAGGGAAAGGGAGAGAGATATAAACATCAATGATGAGAGAATCATTGATCGACTGCCTCCTGTATGCCCCACATTGGGGATGGAGCCTGCAACCCGGGCATGTGCCATGACTGGGAATTGAACCGTGACCTTCTAGTTCATAGGTCAATGCTCAACCACTGAGCCACACCAGCCAGGCTTAAATGTCATTTTCCCCCAGGAGGCTTTACCTGGCCACACAGCCTACAATTCTCTTCTAGTATTCATCAACAGAGTACCAAGTTATTTGGTTTTTCACTTTACCCCCATTGGCAATTAAATATTTATTTGTACCTTTAATCTGGTTTCTTGGTCTCCGTTGATCAAGTTGGAGATGAGGCAAGAGAAGACACTATGAGCTTCTCATTTAAATTACAAGCTTTTTCTGCATCTTTGGGCGCCTCACCCCATCTATCATAGGGCTGGGCAGTGCCTCCCCTGCAGGATCTTGTCACGATAAAACTAGGTGGTGTGGTTGTAAGATCAGAAGCAAAAAATGTAATAGATGTGAAGGTTCGAAGGCTTGAGCTCAAGTCTAAGCTTTGGTATTCACTGTCATTGGAAAGCTCGCTTAATTCTTCTAGGCCCGAGTCTCTTCATCTGCAAAATGCAGGACCGGCCTGAATGGCTGCCAGTTTGTCCCTTGGGCACACGGTGGCATCTGTGATGGGCGTGCTGGCGCGGAAACATGCCCCGCACAAGCGCCACAGGAAAACTGGCGAAAAGAGTTCCCCACTGACATGTGTTCATGTGTTTGACTTTCAGGAAGACGTCCAGCCAAGGACCCACCCAGGTGAGCCTCTGCTTCCTCTTTCTGCACAGACAGTGTAGAAAGATCTGTTTTATAAAAGTTAAATGGTCCCCTCTCAGGAGCTTTTTTCATATTAAAAAAATAGATATATTTTACTAACTCCAGAGAGGAAGGAAGAGGGGGAGAGAAATAGAAACATCAATGATGAGAGAGAATCATTGATTGGCTGCCTCCTGCACACCCCACACTGGGGATCGAGCCAGGCATGTGCCCTGACCGGGAATTGAACCATGATCTCCTGGTTCATAGGTCAATGCTCAACCACTGAGCCATGGCAGCCGAACCATATTTTTATTATATCCAAAACTTTCACCACACAGTTCCCTCACTGATAACTTGGAATATTCATTTGCTCCTCCTCTTCTTTTATATATTAACAAATTAATTTAAATCCTTTCATCATTCTTCCTAATGTACCGCCTTCACTAAATCTGTAGAATAAGAAATCTACATTACTTTGACTCATTCGATGCATTCATTCAGTCAGTTCACCAATATCTGAGGGTCTGCAAATCATTCCATTGAGTGCTGAAAGGCCTGAAAATATATACAAATTTTGAGAGTCGTGAAGTATCATAGATAAATATACATTTCTGTAACACAGGCCAGAGAGTAGTGAACACACTGAAAATTTTCATGATAAAGTTCTTTAGGAGTTTAGAAGAGGGAAAGGTTTTTAGAATGCTTTCATCTGGGGATATCAATATGTACTTGATATGGTCTATAGTGTGTCATTGTTTATGCCAACAAAAAAGAGGTGTGTGTCCCTCCCCTCCTAAATCAGAGTAGCATGTACACGCCAAGACAATCATCTTATTTTCTTTCCTCAAGACCCTTGTTCTGCTAGAACATGCTTTCCATGTCGAGTGAGTCAATATTTCTCCATTTGGTACTTGCTGAGCACCCGTAATGTGAAAGGCACTGTTCCGGGTGTGGGCAATGCCAGTGAGCCAGTCAGCCGAGGACCTTACACTTACGGAATGTACACCTAGAGATACTCTGCCACGTCTCACTCAGCCCCTGTACTGGGCTGCGGCTTCTGCCATACAGCTGTGTGGATTGCTGGTTTCCCCAGAAATCAGTATTCTCCTTAGAACTCTTTCGAACAGGCCCCCCTCATTCAGTGTCTTACTCACAAGCTCAGATGGCGGTGTCTGGAATGCTGGCACAGACGGATGGCACGTGTTTCTGTGTTTGCAGGAGCCCTCCCAGCCCCCCACCCCGAGAATTCACCTACGTGAACGCAACGGCTCCAGTGCAGCAGCAGCCGTTATATGAAAACGGTGAGGTTTCCCCATCACCTGGACCAAGGCAGGTAGAGCGAGCCAGGGAAGAGGCCACGGGGTCATGTCTGCTGGTCAAACCTGGCCCGGCTGTGCTCCCGCCACCTCCCCAAATAGATGGACCACCCGTCTTCAGGGCTGAGAAGGGGGTGCATCTGAAGCAGTTTAAATGGCAGGAAGAAGGGACTGTGTCCTAATGCATCCTTTCCCCTCTCAGTGAATGTTGTCAGTGGAGGTGAGGTTTACTCCCTGGTGTACCATATGCAACAGGAGCGGCGATCAGCGGCAGGTAAGACACGAGGGAGCGCATTCTCCTCTGACTTTTGTCTTGCCTGGAACCAAGAAAGGGCTGCGTATTGCTGTGCTCTTTTGTGTGGTCGCTTCTGCCCTTGGCGCTGACTGCGCATCGCTGTGCCTCTCTGCGGGCCGGCCTTTGGCCTGGAACCGGCCTCGAGGAGAACCCAGTGCCTGACGGTGGAGTGTACACCTCACTCTGCGGTCAGGTGCAAGCCCTGGAGAGGTGGCTTCTGCTTTTCTCCGTGACGAGCCCTATGCACTCCCTGCAGCACCCGACACAGCCGTCCAGCTGCTACTGTTGTCCTGCCTGGTACACGGTGGGCCCAGAAATGCTGCCGGATGTAAATGCCAGGAGGGACCTACTTATCCTCCCACCCCAGGCGCTTACTTTTTCTCCGAATACTAAGGGAAGTGTATTTGTGATGGGCAGAAAAGTGAGACAAAAATAGTAAGAGAAGTAAATCCATGGGCGATAGACCGGAGAGGAAGAAGCCTTTATTAAAACTAACTTAGTGAAGGACTTTAAGTGCAAGTACAACCTCATAGCACGCACCCTTTTCTTCACAGCACCCTCCCTGAGGACGCAGACGCAGGATAAGGTGAGTTGGAATTCCTCCAGGCTCTTTCTCCTGGGGTCTGGTTGTCATACTTTTAAAATGATGGCCACTAAGGAAAAATGAAAGATCCCATTGTCTATCTTCTCCTTTGTCTCCTCACACAGTGGGGAGAAAAACATTCAGTCATAACAACGAAGTGTCACTGCAGAAGGACATTTGGGAGGCTTGCGTATACATGTATTTTGGCCCTGGACATATGGGTGACTTGGGACTAAACTGTAGTATTTTCCCGGTCTAAAATTTTTATTTAAAAATCTTTACACTGAAATACTGTTAAGCTGTACACATATAACTTTGTGCTGTAAGGTTACCTAAACAACACATCTACATGCATTAAAGGCTAATATGCAAAGTGTCCCCTCGGGCGTTCAACTGAGAGACTGGGAGTTCAATTGCTCACTATAACATGTGCTGACCACCAGGGGGCAGCGCGGAACGAGGGGAGGCCCCGGCCGGCAGACAAAAGGCCCCTATCAGCCCTAATTGCTGGCCAGGACCCTACCTGTGCATGTATTTCATGCACCGGGCCTCTAGTAGAAATATAAATTCATAAGCTAAACTGTGATGTTTATAATTAAAGATAGGTAATTTCTAAACTTTGAACAATTCATAACATCCTTGATGATACAAAAATGCGCTCATAAAAATGCAGAAATACTGATTCTTCATGGATGCAGGGACAGCAGGTGCAATTTTGTTAAGTGTGTTGTGACAGTCAAATGTCTCAGGACAGAATTCAAGTCCTTGGTAAACCCCTGGGCGGCACGCTACCTTTAGTTTATGAATACCAAATTCTGGCATTTAAAAAAACCTGACAGCCCCTGGGACTGCCTCGCAATGGCCCATAAGAATGAGAGAAGGCCTCGTATGTTTGGGTCAGTCTGCAGGTCATTGGTACACCTTTGCAGCCCACCAGTGATTGCAGACCCTCTGAAACGGCTGCCGCAGGGCCACAGTCTTCCAGTAACTTCTAATTCATGTGCTGCACGGCGCATCATGCCTTTAGCTGCTTGGGAAGAGAACCGGTGGGAGGCATGCTCTCCCTGGGTTCCCTGCCCCGGCCCTACCCCTGTGCCTGTGCTTCTAGGACCCCTCAGCCATCTACTCTGGAGTGAAAACCGCAAGCAGCTCAGATGATGACTACGAGGATGCTATTTAAGTTATGGAAGACCCTGCTCTTTATAAGGCACCTGTGACCCAGGCCTCAGAACCAGTGCGTTCTTCAGAGATCTGGGGAACCCGCTGTCCAGTAGCCCCATCCAGGGGAATGCCCTCCACGAGACGATTTCCACCTCCACTGGAAGGCAAAGTTGGCTCAAGCCCCGAACAGACCACCCCAGAGACCAACCCCGCATGAATGAAGAAATGGGAAGGCCTCTGCTACCAGAACCTGATGCTTGCTGGTTCTTTCAGGCCTGGGTCAAATTGTGCTCTAACTTTTTTTTCTAAGAGGAAACAGGACAGGATAAAAGCACTTAGGACTTTGGGGTCGAGGGAAAGCGGGGCTTAGGGTGCACAAAACCCAAGGTTAGTGATCTTGTGGGACTTCTCCATACAGAGCTGTGTCTATCCTGTGGTTCAGGTGCCTTTTCTGCTCAGACGGTACTGACCACTTACATTAATCTTCCTGTTTCTCCATAAAATATGTGACTCGTTGCATTTGAAGTCACTGTTACCAAACCAGAATTAAAACAATGTTACATAAGGCATCACTGCGGTTATGCTCCATGTTAGCATATTTTGTATGTATGAGCCCATCTGGATTTGTAGTGAGATATATTTGTGCTTGTCACCACATCCAGTGTTCTGCCTTTGCTGCAGCCCCAGAAGCTTTGTGAATATAATTTTTTTATTCACAAATGTTGTGAAAACACGTGATCATAGGATTTGGAGTTTGTATTTTAATTTTATAAATCAATCATTTGCTAACGCTTATAAATTTAAACAATATAAAGCATAAAATGTAAAAAATTAAAGTCTTCCCTGTAATTTAACACAAGTGGCCCCCATTGTTAAACATTAAGCATTGTTAAAATCACAGCTCTGCAGAGATTTTTCTATTTTTGTACAGGCATTTATACATCATTGTAAATATGTAAATATTTAGAAATATACCTATTTAATAAAATACCATGAAATATTTTTTTAAAAGTTGAAAATGCTACCATTTATTCCTCTAGACAAACATATCAATGCACAAATATGATGAATTATAAAAAGAAAATTATATGATAAGCTCAAAAACCGCCTTTGATTCTGAATTCTGTCAATGTTCTTACCTTTTGCGACAGCATGAATGGACATTATTATGCTAAGCCAAGTAAGCCAGCAGAGAAAGACGACTATCACATGATCTTACTTTATGGAACCTAATCACTGATGAACAAAATAGAAACAGAGGCATGGATGCATGGAACAGACTGACCGCTGTCAGAGGGGAGGGGGAGGAGAGACTGGATAAAAGGAGGGGAAGGGATGAGACAAAGCACATATATTCATAACCCATACACACAGACACAGTGTGGTGATCGCCAGAGGGAAGTGGCGGTGGGGTGGGTGGAGTTGGGCAAAAGGGCGGAAAATGGAGACATCTGCAATAGTGTCAACAATAAAAATAAAGTAAAAAAAAAAAGGAAGACTGAATATTATTATAATCTTGAAAGTAGTCAGCCACATGGTAAAAAATAGATACTATAAAATGTCTACAGTCTCTAGGTGCTTTCTGTGTTATACATAAATATATTGCTAGCCAATTACTGTTTCCCACAGACACTTTGTTGTTTTGTTAATCCTCCCCTGAGGATATTTTTCCGTTGAAAAGAGAGGGATGGGGGGGGGGGGGTGTGGTCAACTGGGGAAAAAGAAGACATATGTAAAACTTTAGACAATAATTAAAAAAAAAGCCCTAACTGGTTTGGCTCAGTGGATAGAGCATTGGCCTGCAGACTGAAGGGTCCCAGGTTTGATTCCGGTCAAGGGCATGTACCTTGGTTGTGAGCACATCCCCAGTAGGGGGTGTGCAGGAGGCAATTGATTGAGTTTCTCTCTCTTTGATGTTTCTAATTCTCTATCCCTCTTCCTTCCTCTCTGTAAAAAAAGTCAATAAAATATATTAAAAAAATAATCATAATAATAAAAAAATAAAGAAAAGGAAAGAGAGGAAAAGACAGAGAGAAACATCGGTGTGAGAGAAACACATTGACTGGTTGCCTCCGGGCCCGGGCTGGGGAGGAGCCTGCAACCAAGGTACATGCCCTTGACCGGGATTAAACCTGGGACCCTTTGGTCCACGGGCTGATGCTCCATCCACTGGGCCAAACTGGTTAGGTCCCCACAGATTCTTTCTTAACCTGCAGAAACCCAGCGGGCTGGGCACTCTTCTAGACGGCCCGTGGTCGGCAAACTGCGGCTCGCGAGCCGCATGCGACTCTTTGGCCTCTTGAGTGTGGCTCTTCCACAAAATACCACGTGCGGGCGCGCACAGACAGTGCAGTTGAAACTTGGTGGCCCATGCGCAGAAGTCGGTATTTTGTGGAAGAGCCACACTCAAGGGGCCAAAGAGCCGCATGTGGCTTGTGAGCCGCAGCTTTCTAAGCCGCAGTTTGCCAACCGCTGGACTAGACTTAGGGAAATCAAGACCCTGAAGATCAGCTGCAAGCCAAGTGGAGTGGACCCTGTGAGGTCCTTGGCTACACCACCCACAAGCAACACCTGTGAACCCTTAACTGGCCTTTAATTTTGAAAAGAACAGGGTGACCGAGACCCCAGCTGGCCAGGAGAAGACCCAGACATCTCAGAAGTAGACTGCTGCCACCCAGGAGTCCTGACTAGGCCTGTATCACCCTACACTGGTACTGTAGTTGGAGTTACCATAGTAACCTAATCATTTCACTAAACTCTCCACTTCAACTTGCTATTGTTTTGGTTAAACACTGTGCTATACTTTCCTGATTGTGATATTTGCTTGTATGGTCCTAGTGTTCTGCTTTGTTATGCTTTCTTGAACTTTTTTTTAAAGAATTAAACCACATCCTTTGTTCCCTTATCAGCAGTAAGCAGCTAGAGCAGTCACTGCCCCTATTGGAGGAAAAGGTAACTTAATGTTTAAAATTATGATGGAGAGAGAAGTGAACTTCTGTGTGTGTAGGTTTTTCCAAAGTGAGAGATACACATACTCCTTATACAAGGATATTTAGCCACCAACAATATGGAGCACAGGTACCAGAGGGAAGCAGAGTTACACGTAGATATAAAAGCCTCTTGGATCAGTCGGCAGACCCTTGAATGAGAAACCTCACAGGTGGCAGCAAACAAATACTCTAACCCAGTGGTCAGCAAACTACGGCTCATGAGCCACATGCAGGTCTTTGGCCCCTTGAGTGTGGCTCTTCCACAAAATACCACGTGCGGGTGCTCACGTACAGTGTGATTGAAACTTTGTGGCCCACTCGCATAAGAGTCTTTTTGTGGAAGAGCCACACTCAGGGGCCAAAGAACCACCTGTGGATCGCGAGCCACAGTTTGCCGACCACCTGTGAGGTTTCTCATTCAAGGGTCTGCCGACTGATCCAAGAGGCTTTTATATCTACGTGTAACTCTGCTTCCCTCTGGTACCTGTGCTCCATATTGCTGGTGGCTAAATATCCTTGTATAAGGAGTATGTGTATCTCTCACTTTGGAAAAACCTACACACACAGAAGTTCACTTCTCTCTCCATCATAATTTTAAACATGAAGTTACCTTTTCCTCCAATATTTGCTAAATCTCCTAACCTCTAGCTTTGGTTCCTGGCTTGCATCAAAATTTAGGTAGGCTTCCAGATTATGTCTATCCACATGCAAATGTCTATCCTATATAATAAAAGGCTAATATGCAAATTGTCCCCTCGACCAGGAGTTTGACCAGGGGGAGGGGCCAGCCGGCCAACCACCTGCGGTCTCTCCCCCCAAGCCGGCCGACCCCACCCGTGCACGAATTCGTGCACCGGGCCTCTAGTCACTCACAAAATACAGAACAGGATCCGAATGAAATATGTTAATTATTTTAGGGAACTTATTGCCATTATTGTGGCTCATCCACCTCACGATGACATTCGACTCTAATAACTCATTGCTTCTTTTCCCACCTGCAACCCTCACTTTCACAAAAACCACAAATTCCAGCTCTCAACATTTGGCAACACTTTGACAAATACTAATTCTCAACCTAAAAGGCAGGCCACATTCTCATGGAGAACATGTTAGAATCAACGGAAAGACAGATATTTTGAAAAATTCACTCTGAAGTTATTTTGTTGATGGTTTCTTTTGCTGTGCAGAAGCTTTTTAATTTTGATATAGTTCCATTTGTTTATTTTTTGTTGTTTCCCTTACCCTTGGAGACATATTGGCAAAAATACTGCAATTTTTCATAACATATCAATTTAAGTTTTTGCCAGTCACAATCCCAACGTTAGATTTACCCTGAGAGAGGCCCTGCTTGCTCCACGCAGGCACCTGGGGCTTGGCAGTGACTCACCGTCTTTGGTCATAGTCTCCTTTTTGAGCATCTACCACCAACTCTTTCCTTTGAAAATCAGTTGACAGCGCTCTACACTCACTACCATTGAGACTGGGTCTGGGCTAGTCTCAGCACTTAATTCCCAAAGACCTTACCATTAGGCCTTGCTATGGAGCCAGCTCAGACTTTAATGACGGAGGACACTGAAAATTATAGAAACCCGTTCTTAACACCATGATCCATACCCGCCTGAACTCTGACTTCCGCATTTGCCCACAGCTCTACCAGTCCCGAGGAGCAAGGATTGTGTCTTGTTTGAGTTGGCCTTTGATTTTACAGGGCCTAGAAGGGCACGGGCCTAGATGGGCACAACGAAAGCCTACACTGGGGATTTTCCCAGACAAATGGTAGGGGTTTTTCTTCAACCAGGGAGGGTGGTTTCCCAGGCAGCTGCAACTTGCTGACATGTTTCCATTTTCTCTCCCTGGAAGCAGAAGTTGGTCCTAAATATCAGTTTACATTAAAAAATATATTATATTATATTGATTTCAGAGAGGAAGGGAGAGGGAGAGAGAGATAGGAACATCAATGATGAGAGAGAATCATTGATTGGCTGCCTCCTGCACGCCGCACACTGGGGATCCAGCCCGCAACCCGGGCATGTGCCCTGACTGGGAATCGAACCGTGACCTCCTGGTTCATAGGTTGGTACTCAACCACTGGGCCACACTGGCGAGGCTCAGTTTAAATTTTTTACCTTTGCTTTGTTTATCTCTAGTATTGGGGGTGCTGCCGGGTTTCAATATCCAATATTCCACAATCGTCTCATCTTCCTGGGAAGCATCTACATAATAGCTGCTTCTGAAACTTGTACTTGTATCTGTTACCTTACCTGCTTACCGTCCGTTCCGGAGAGAGATAGAACTTCTCATTAGTGCAAGGGGCATCTAAACATTGGGAATTTAGGACAGTGCTATGAATGTGACTCTGTTATAGTCACTGCCTGCATCAGGGCTCTCCCCTGTTTAGTTTAGGCTAATGGGTAGACTTAGAGTACAGCTAAGAGAAGATGCTTATCATGGTCATAACCTACAGGCCAACGGTACCACAGACCAGCTAATCCTTCACAGGCTTGGTAGACATTGGGACCCCAATTTTAAAAAAAAGGAATATTTTGAAAAGCTATGTCAGCATCAGTTACCTGGGTTGTGTAGGGAAACGTACCAGCTGAGACTGGCCGTACTACACAGAAAGTCTGCCACCTGAAGTGTTGCTAGAGATATTGGGAAAGGTTACGTTTCCTTTCAAAGTTCCCAAGAGCAGGAGAGGAGTTTTATTTCTAATTTAACAGAATCTTTTTTCTGAAGCTCACGGTGCCTCTGCCCTAGTAGACATGATAGACCTTTAAAGCAAGGCCTGCTGTCGAGGGAAGTTACTTCTCACCTCTGTGGCTCTTCCATTCCCCTGGCCATAGCCTCCACACCGGAGACATGGAGAGACCACCGGCGGGAGTTCACAACATTCCTCAGAGGGCTGCAAGATTTAAAGTTGGAGAAGTAATCTTTACCCCCTAGTATATATGAGGTTTCATGAGTTCCCTTTCTTTGTTCTTCTGAGCCACTAGGTAGTATTGTTCTATTTGATGC